TCGGTGAGCTCTACTTCTAAAAATTAGACAGACAAGAACCTCACAACCTCACACCCAGTCCTCTTCTGTTTTCCATTTACGGAGCTGTTCAGATGGAGTAATTGATGGAGAGCCCGTTTCAGGTCAGGAAGCCCTCGGTTTGACTGCGGCCTCTGAGTCATCCTGGCTGTGGGACTCTGGCCAAGTCCCTTAACCTCCAAGAGTCCCAGGGAGCAGAAGTTCTTTAGCAAACTTTCTGTACTGAGGCAATCACAAGGCCAGGGTAAAAAAATATGAAAATAAAATTAAAAATAAAAAGGAAAGAAAAAAGATTAAAAAAATGTTTAAATTGTAAGGGCACTGCTGGTAACCTCCATCTCCACAGAAACGCACCTCAAATCACTCACTACCCTGGAATGCCGAGGGCCTGAGCCTCCTGCCCTGTTAAATGGAAGGAGATCCAAGGGCCCGACTTGCTCAGGGGCAGACTCCAAGGCTCGAGCCCTCTCTCCTTTACAGAATCCACCCACTCCCTTTGTCTCAACTGTCTGCACAGGTGTGATGGTCACATCACACACGCATCTCTAGAACTGCCTACTGGACATTCCACTGTAACAGCAACTCAGCACATCTAAAACCAAGTGGGTCGTTTTCCATGAAAACCAGCTCTTCCTCCCTGCCCCCTCCCCCAGGGCTCCCCCACGTATGGGAACAGAACCACCATTCCGAGTCACTCCATACAGAAACCTTGGAGTGATCCTTGACAGCCCACCCCCTGCCTGCCACCAAGACTCAGCAATCCTTCCTTTTCTGCCTCTTTTCTTTGTCCCTTTCCGCCCACATCACTTTAATCCATGCTCTCATCGTCTCAGACCTGAGATATCATTTGAATCTCAGCCATATTCAGGTTAATAATTTTCATCAATGACTCAGATGATGGCAGGTGATTAAATCAGAAGGAATAGCTACAACCATGTTCTAAACATGTTGACCGGTTGGAATGATGGGCCAAAGCTAACAATGCCATTTAATAGGGATGAATTGTTATATCCTGTAAAGGCTGTCAGGTAGGCTTGTCCTGCATGGGGGTGGGGGGACCCTACCACCCGAGCTAAGCTTGAAAGGGAATAAGGCTGAGGTAAAGAGGGATCACTTTCAGGTACGGAGGCCAGCCTATGATAAGGATGGCATGGGGTGGGGGAGGGGACACCTGTCAACTTTGGGGAAAAAGAAGTAGGTCAGTTTGGTTATGCAAGATATGGAGTGCAAGAAAATGAACAATACTTGAAAATCAAAAAATAAATGAATAAATGTTTAATATATATAAGAAAGGAAGAATATGAGACAAATCTTGAAAGGTCAGTGGATCACCTCCCACCCATCAAACCGGCAAAATGAAAAGATGGAAATAAAGTTGGACTGACAGGCAGAGGAAGGCAGAGGAAGCATGCGAATAAATTCCAAGTAGAGTTGTGAAGTTGTCCAGCAATTTGGAAGTTTACCAGAAAATGTCTCAAATGTTCATACCTTTTGACCTAGCCGATGCCCATGCTGGGCATTTGCCTGAAGGAGGTTAAAGAGACGGCACAGTTTCAAATATATCAAACTGTTTACAGCAGCACCTTTTTTGGTAATAAGAAATTGAAAATAAGGTGTAAGAAGTGAGGTCCCATTGACCAGGGAACTGCTGAACAGTGGTATATGGATATTTAGAATTTTTTATTTTTCTTCAATTAAAATGCTATTTTCCTCCTTTTCACCCACCTCCTCTGGGGAGGAAAAAATCCCAAACCCTTGTGGCAAATATGCATAGGCAAACAACACAAATTTCTGCATTGGTCATGTCCAAAACTTATGCATTACCTATGTATAAAACGAAATTACTGTTCAGTTGTTTATCAGTCATGCCTGACGGTCTGTGACCCCATCTGGGGTTTTCTTGGCAAAGAGTGGTTTAAACTGGTTTGCCTTTCCTTCTCCAGCTCATTTTAGATGAGAAACTGAGGCAAACAGGGTGAATGGATTTGCCCAGGGTCCCACAGCTAGTAAGTGTGTGAGGCCAGATTTGAACTCAGATGAGTCTTCCTGGCCCTTAAGCCCAGCACTCTATCCAATGCACCACCTAGCTGCCATAAAATGAAATTATATTAATACAATATATTACATATATCAATTTGTATATTGTAAATTTCTATGTTCCATAATTGTTATTTAGTTTTCTATTACACACACACAATATTTAATCATGCACTATATAATTCGTAGGTAAATACAATACATAATCATATATTATGTATACTTTTGGACATGGCTAACACAGAAATGTGTGTTGTTTGTCATGAGGGAGCCCCAGGGTAGTTCTCCTCTTTGGGGGCTTGAGGCCTTTCCCAACAATTACTCCCTGAGTAATCCTTCCTCTTTAGGACTGACACAAAGTGTCCCATCTCTCAGACTCCACATTTAAGGCCATTTTCAGCTGTTCTCTCATGGGAAGATTCTCTGACTTGGAAGTGTGTCATGTACACTTTGTGGCATTTCTTTCACCTGTAGATTTCCTGACACAGCAGCCTCCAGGAAAGGCAACTTTCTTGATTCCTAAGACAAAAAGTCAGTCAACATGAAAACTAACTTCCAAGGTAAGGGGGGGCCAGACTGGGAAGCAGGAGCAGAAGGGGATGAGAGGGGCCTTGGGAACAGGAGCCAGGAGGAATCCCATAAGAGTTCACAGCAGGCAAATGCTAAGATCAAAGGGGCTTTTCTTCCTGAGACTCAGGAGGATATGACGATAGGAAGGTAAGAGAGAGGTATTCTGGGCCTGCCGGGGGCAGAGATGCGGCGCTGGTTGCCTGGCTAGGGGCTATCACTCTGGCCTGGGCCAGAGCTACAGACTTAAGCAGCACCTGAGTAGAGGGGATAAACCAAAGAGAACTTTGGAATGAACGTGGAAGGTGAAGATGAGAAAGAATGAAAGAGAGCCCTCGGAGGGAAGGAGGGAAGCCAGCCTCTGGCGTGTGCTGGAAGATCCCAGAGGCCACATCCTCAAGGCAGCCTTGGGCCCCTCAGGCAGAAGCAGCAGTGGCAAAATCCAGACCCATCCATGGTTGTGAGGAGCCAGTCAGTCAGTCTGTCAGAGACGCTGATGATGAGAAGGAAGCCTTGCCTTGCCTTCCCTCTCCTTGTCATATGCATGTGTTAAAATGAGGACAGACAGGTATCAGAAGTTTGTCCTGTAACACCAAGCCACTAAAACGTCAAGGATTCTGAAGATCACACTATGAGATATTGAAAAAAAGAAAAAAAACCCCAAACAATAACAAACAAGCCCCAGTGCTGTCTTCAACTAGAAGGACTGGGAAAAAACCCTACACGGCAGGGAGGAAGGTAGAAAATAACATTTTACGGAAGAAACAAGGAAACAAGGCCAGAGTACAGTGCAGAGTGCTGGGCCTGGAGTCAGAAGACCTGAGTTCAAATCTGTCCTCAGACACTAGCTGTATGATCTTAGGGAAGTCACTGTTTGCCTCGGTTTCCTCATCTGTAAACTGGAGGTAATAATAAAATGTCCCCCCCCAGGGCTGCTGTAAAGTGCTCAGCAAAACTCAAAGCCCTACATCATAAATGCTAGCAAGCTCTTCCTCCCCAGGCTGCTGCTCCCCTAAGGCTGAACAGTTTTCTTATCATCATCTGCGTCCTGAATAATAGAGGAAAGGCAAACACTTAAGACACCTCACCCAAGACGTGTCACCCATGGAGCCTAAGAAAGGACTTCAGGCACTAGGCTGTGCTCCTGGCACTTTTCTGCTAAGCACTGTGTTCACAGGCTGAATGGTGCTGGTTTTGGAAATTACCTGACATTATTTGTTCTGCAATCAGAACAAAGGGCACATCTGAACATTTCTATAAGCCACTTAAATGGCAATGCGGGAATATTTCAATCCACTGTCTTGACACTCATGCTTTTTTTTTTTGACACTCATATTTCAAATGCTTTATCTGTTTAACAAAAGGTAAGCCCAGGATTAAAAAAAATAAACAAAATTAGATAATGAACTCTAAACAGAAAGATGTTTGCAAATGTCAGTTAACATCTTCAATGGGAAATGAACACGGTTTAATTCCTCAGTTCTGAGGTTCTTATTGATTCTTCTGTTTCAGACAAGGGGAGATACTCAACGTGCCCAGCTATGTGACGGAGGCCAGAAGTGTAAAAAGAACAAGTGTAAAGGCAGATTCTAGTCATCCCTCAGCTGGCCCTGGGCAGTGGAGGCCACCGGTTAATATTCGATTCTGGCTCTTTGAACATTATTCTAAATTCAGTTCTAATAATAAGCCAGTTTCTGAAACGTAGACAGCACACATCACTGTATTCTAACACCAAAGCTCTGGAATTCAGGCCAAAGTATATTTCCTCTTCCTTGACTATGCTCTTCCTCCATGTAAATCCTTTGAACAAGCTGATAAAACCAACAACAGAGACAAAAAAGCTCCCACAAAAGCCCATATGTATGTGTCTAAGTTAGCCTTGGTGGTGCTCCATATAAGGCCGTAACTCGGAAGGGCATGAGCCAGGAAGCTTCATAGGAGAGGTATATATATTATGTGGATGGGCTGCCGGCAGGAACGTGGGCCCGCCAGGCCCTCCAGGCCCCCAAGGACATGGGGGAGAATGTCCAACCAATTCCCTCTCAAATAAGAAATTCAGTCTTTTCATTAACACTACCGGAAACCTTCTGACATTCCTCAGGAGACAGGGTTCTCTAGGGAGCTGAACTTTGAGGACTGTGTAGAACCACTGATCTGAACATGTATGGAAACAACCCCCGACCTGGCTCGATACCCTTAACTGAGAGTTATGAACAATTATAAAGGATACCCCAACTCTCCCACAATGACCAAATTCAAAAGGAAATGACCTTCCTGGCACTGTTACAAGCACACACAACATTCATTTGTCTTCTAGCTTTCAAGCACTGCACCGAGCCCCTCCAGAACGGCTCCATCAGGGAAGGAATTCGGCTGCCTCGGAGAGCGTGACTGCTGAGCCCCGACTACCTCCAGGATGACATGTACTAGAAGGTAACAAGTGTGCAAGGGACAAGTAAGTGACCTGCTAGTGGAGAATGAAAACTGGAACTATTATTGAAATTCTAATTTGGTAGCAATCCTATTGTCCCTTTCCTCTTTTTCCATAGTGGTTTTTTAAAAATACAAAAATTCTACACTTTTGGGTGGGGACAGTTTAGATGGCTCATTTTTTTGAAGGGGATAAAACTTCATGTTTCAGACAAGTGACTAGTTATATACAATGCTAAAATAGGATTTAAAACATCCCAATGCTATAAAAAACCCAATTTATAGTTCTGGTTACTTGTCTTTCATTTTGTCCTCTCAAATTAAAGCCAACCTACAAAATTCAAAGAGAAAATGAAGGTGTTTCCTTTCGGCATGCATGTATGTGTCTTTCTAGGACACATCTTTTAGAGTCATGTCTCTTTTAACACCATCTGTTGGTGACTGGGTTACTCTTTGGGTGGCCAGCGCACAAAAGCTCTGCTCCAAATCAACAAAAGAATTCTTTGGGACACTTCTGACTTCCCTATTCCCCTACACTCATTCTCAAGCTTCACCTCAAATTTATACATAGCTCAGGAGAAGTATGAAGGCATTCCAATATCATGATATCTAGAGTTTTCTTGTGCTAGGTGCTAACATTTTGTTTATCTGAAAAATTAGATATTAGCAGCTTAATAAATCTCTTTAATTTAAATTAGGGGTTCTTAACCTTTTTTAGTATCATGGATCTCCTGGCTTGGGATTTTTTTAAGTGCATAAGATAAAACAGAGAGGATTACAAAGGAAATCCATGGTTAGTGAAATCTGCATAGGTTAGTGGAATATAGAAAGATAATTTTTTTTCCCCATCTAAGTTCATGAACCCCCTGAAGTCTATCCCAGACCCCTGACCTGAATCAACTAGGCAAGTGGCTCAATGATGACTACTAATAACCCAGATCCTGCTATATGACTAACTAGCTGTGTGGTGTTAGGTAAGTCATGCTCCCCCATCCCCCGTGCGCCTCATCAGTAAAATGAGGGGGTTGGGCTACGTGGACTCTTCCAGCTCAAAACTTGTCTGCTCGGAAAGTCTTCAATGCAGACCAGAGCTCTGGAGAAGGGAGGGGCTGGGGCTGCGCAGCACAAGTATCTGTTCTGTTCTTTGTAAATTAAAATGATGTAATCTACATATTTTGTATCGAGAGGGAACCTTTTGGCATTCAGCTTCCTCGACCACTCTGCTGCTTGGTGAAGCCTTCAGAAGCCAGCCAGCTGCCTCCAAGTCCAGACTGTGGGCTCCTCTCCTAAAACTCTGTGAAATCTGAGGCTCTTCAGAGCAACAATCAGACAAAAGGACCTCACCAAGCAGAGATGGCCCAAAGTTGGTGAAAACAGATTTTTTTTTTAAAGAAGGGGGTCTACCTTGGCTTTGAGTGTTTGGCATGGGTACAATGTCTTAAAAAAGCAGATGACTAGCTCAGCTACTGACCATGTTGACCATTCTCCAGAATCAGACTGGACCACAGAAAAACAGCGAATGGCTATTTCTTACAGGCTTTTGGAACAAGACACAATTCCGGATTACCTTCTGCAGGGTTCTAAAATGTCTGATCGCTTACTCTCATCTAATGGGTCTGGACTGCCAACCGACTCAACACCAGGGGAGAAGAAACTGCGCTGGGCAGCTCTTCTGATCTTCCTGGTGATAATCCCCACAATTGGGGGCAACATTCTCGTAATCCTTGCTGTGTCCCTGGAGAAAAAGCTGCAGTATGCTACCAACTACTTTCTGATGTCCCTGGCAGTAGCCGATCTGCTGGTTGGGCTGTTTGTGATGCCGATCGCCCTTCTTACTATCATGTTTGGTAAGTAAGCTCTGGCCTTGCCCCCGGTGCCCTAGCGGGGTAGCATCTGAGCTCTTCTCATATATTTTCTTTCTGGCCTAAAAGAAAAGTGAACTCCAAATAGTTACAATTTCTCACTGCTCTCATGTCTCTACTTGTGCATGCCGGCTTGAAGGAGTCAAAGTGGACTCCCAGAAAACGACCACTCTGCTAACAGTGATAAAGATGTTCTCCAGGTGAATAACATTTAAAGATGCCACCCAGCTCTAGGACCAGGGGGGTTAAAACCCACTCCCACCTACTGCACTGAACAGAGCTGATGGTTTTGTGTTGGCCAGTCTTTCTATCATGTATGATATGCCTCTTACATCCACTCCTAGCTTAAAAGAATTGTTCTATCCAAATTCTTGTCATTTCCATGCATTTTGTGCATTTTAGAAAATTTCCTCAGCCAATGAACTCAATTCTGTTTGTGGCACAATCACGAAAAATCTTCAGTTCCAGAAGGAAATGGTCCATCTGTTGTTCTGCTCCTCTGATTTCTAATCCTTTCCCCCCCTGATGTGGGAAAATTCAGGACCCTCAACTGACTAAACTTAAGTGGAATAATACCTGGGTTGTCGAGATTAATAATTAATTTTCTGTTGATTTAAATCAGTCTCTTAAAAAGATTTCTTAATAACTTAACAATCTTAAAATATTTCTCATAAATATTTTAGTTAATAAGGAGGAATTTTTTTGACCCATGGATTCCACTCCTCTTCTTTTTTCTTTTCAATTTCTTAATCTCTTGGGTGATCCAGCTGTAACCACGGTTAAAATATTTAAGGAATCCCAAGTGAGAACACAGCATGACAATAGTACCTTTAACACTGTGCAAAGCTAAAAGGACTCGGTGGGTCAGATCTAAGTAGAACTGACCTGTGAGAAGGACCCAAGAGCAATTCACTGGCACTAGACACAATTCAGATCAAATACCACAGCACAGAGACAGAAATTAGTTCAAAATGTCCCTCTTCAAACCAGGGTGAAATGTCCTCCTCCTCCCCATCAAGTCAATGTTGAGAAGCTGACTATATGGACAGATGAATGAATGACCCTGCTCAGTAACACGGCTTAAACTATATACCTGACAAGAATTCCCCTTCTTGGGCCCCTCACAAACTCATGCGTTGCTACTGACTGCCACTCCCCCCCCCCCACCCCGCTGAGGAATTGCCACAAAGGAGCTGTTAAACATTACACACCAATAAGGCTTCCATGTCACAGTAAGTCTAACTCACGCTCTATTTCAGTGAGGGGCAGGATGCATTTCTCATGACAAGGGAGCAGGAAGAAAGAGAAAGCACATGAAAGAGCAGATGTAGACTGCTCTCTGAATTGTAGAGGCAACATGTGACAGAAGGGTGAACCCTCAAATCCTCCCAGACCAGGGGTGCCCTTCTTCCAGAGCAGAGCAAGCATGAATGATATGTTCATATGCTCAGTCCGGCCACTGAAAGGGGCTGTTATTTATGGCCATGCATTGAAACAGAGAAATACCAGCTCCTGATGCCACTTCTCTTATTAATATTGAACAAATTAAAATGCTTGACATCGCTAAGTCAGTTTTAACTTTAACTTAAACAAATATTTCGTGACTGCCTGGTATATGAGCCAGCTACTAAAATTATGTCTATCAGAATAAAATAGCCAAGGGTTTAAAAAAGCAAAGTTTCCATGGATTTAAACCCAGATGACAACCACAATGGGCTGCTGGGTCCATGTACTTCCCAAAACTCACAGGCAGTAGGCTAGCAGATAACCAAATGGCAGCTGAAGACTTTGTCAAGGCTTGCACTGAGAAGTCTGATATCTAAAACTCAAGCATTAAAGGTTCAGAGAAGGAAGCTAGCATGTGCTTATTAGCATTAAATGCTTAGAGAAGGCCCCTTAATATTTATGTTCAACTAAATAACTAAGGACATTTAGCTGCCGGAACAGTAAGGTATCTAGGCATGGGAAATTCGGCCACTCCCACCCTGCTAACACGTAAACAAAAAACCACAGTGAGCTGTTTGAAATGTGCTGCATTTGGTGATTAAAAAAGCCTTCACATAACTCTAAGAAAACCAAAGCAATGGCTAGTTAAGAGGTAACCTTTGAAATGAAATAAAAAGCTAGGGATTTATGTAAGGTTTATTTACTACTGCAGAAGAATAAAATGGCAAAGAACGTTAAACGTAGGATAACAAATTTCCCACAATGAATTTCTTAGTCTGACACTCCGTATTGTGCAATGTCTCTGTGAGACACTTCCTGGAATTTTTCCTCCATCCCCTTTTTGCAGAAAATAGATGCCTAAGTGCAATGGGTAGAGTATTTAGTCCTTCATATAGCCCCCAAATCGATATTGTGCTTTAAATAAACAGTTTAAATGAAAACACTGGCAGAAGAGCAGTTTTTTTTAAATAGAAGAAGGAGAAATGTATGGCCTCTAGCTCGAGGAAATCAGATGAGATGAATGTATGATGCCATTCAAAGGATACTCAGGAAGCTTGAAAGACCAGAATCCATTTGTTCTATCTACTTCTAGGGCCCCGGGGTCCAAATCTGGAAAGTTCCCACAAACAGAACTCCCTTGTTCCACTAATACACAGGTTACACTTTTGGCAGGTAGTTTTAAGTACCTAACAGGAATCCTATCAAACAACATAATTCCTAAAATTTCATTAGTGAAGGCAAATGAAAAGAAGAAGAGCAAAATGGTGAAAAGAGTTACCGATATCACCAGCTATCTGTCAAGTTGGCTTATTCTGCATAGAAGAGTACCAGGTGCAGTGACGGAAGCCCGGTCTCCATCAGCACAACTCCCTTCAAATGCTCAAAGCACACTTCCTACAGGGAAGGAGGGGAGAAGGGCACATAGTATTTATGCCCACTGCACAGACATATAATATGGGGCCCAGAAAGTTACTGCTGCCCTATGCAGGTTCAAAGGTTCAAAGCTCTTTGCACTATGCTGGGCATAACAGGTCCTATGTCAAGAACATATTTTGGGTACAGCTCTTCCACCTTTAGTCACTGCTAGGCTGTGTCATTTAAGCAACAAAGGAGCTAACAAGCAGTTAGAATTTTTCACAGTATCTCCCATTGTCACTTTCTGCCTGACTGAACAAGACACGAGCCTGGGCTAGGCTTCTTCAGGCTCTGAACCACAGTCCTGCCACCAAGGCAAGCAGGGAGAGGAAGCATCACAGGAGATTTAATCTCAGTTTCACAGTATCAAACAGGGCTGTATCCTCATCCCCTTGAAAATGTTTTATGGCCAAAAGCATTCTACCAATGTCAGCTGTTACTGTCACCTTCTATCTAAATAATGTGGCACTTAACTTTTTGGGTGAATTTGATCTTCATCCTTGTGTGTCCAGTAAATAGGAAAACAAATATCACTTTCAGGACAGTGTCACAGGTGGACTGTCTGGCCTAAATGCCTTTAATGAACACTGGGTCTACTGCCCAGAAGCTCAGTACTGATCATACCAAAATACCAAACACAAACACTGATGTGCCCCAAACAAGCCACCTTTGGTAGGTATTCCATTAAAAAGGACAAAAGTTTTTGGTTTGAAATTCTGTGGATGAGGCTGTCAGGTGAGAGAAGTCAGTCAGGAATTCGCTCCCATGCAGCCGTGCCTGCAGCTGATAACGGAGAGGGGAGGGGGGCTGGCAATGAGCTCTTGGGCAACGTTCTCTAACCTGACAACAGTAGAAAACCAACTCCCTGGACCACACTGTTTCAGAAGTCTGGGAAAAGGCCATCGGCTTCCTGCCACATCCCTCCTCTTTCACAGGAGCCCACATGAAGGAGCCTTTCTTCAGCTTAACTTGAGGAGATAATTTGTTCCTGCCTTGTGCTCTGACTCCAAATCCAGGGCTCTTAGCTGGCCTTTGAATGATATATGGGGGAAAACAGGAATTATCCTGGGACTAGAAATTGCAGATCAACTTACAGAAATTAATATAAATATAAAAGCTAAACTGACATACCATTTGTATTCACTCTGGGCATTTAGGTAAATTTTATTTAAAGTAACACCTATTTATCACTGGCACAAGTCACATCAGTGAAACAATCTCGATATTCTTGAGGCTAGAGCCATGGGCCACACGTGGCTACAAAGTCACTCCATCATGCAATCGCATGAAATCTGGAATCATGACGGCACAAAGCTACATCTCTCAATCTGGGCCTTGATCATTCTTAATCTCTTACCCTTCTCTCAAAAGTAGAAATTCCCTATCATTTTCTCTTACTAGTAATAACCAACCAGTAAAGCTGCTAAAGAGTAAACAGATTAAAATCACGGCATCTTTGCATTAATGATAATTTTCTGTTTCTCTTCAGTTACAAAAATAAGCATTCAGGTATGGAGGTTGTTCAAATCAATTCACTTTCACCACTAGTTAACTGAAGCACCCAAGAAGCTGAACGTATATTTAAGAACTAGGGTTCAGAGGTCATGTGATTTGAACTCAATGATGCTAGATTTCTATCGTGTCTCTCGTATTAGCCCAATAGATTTATACTGCGCTTGAGAATCTGAAAGAGCTGTAATTGCATCAATAGAAGTACAAACAGTCTGAAAGCAGAAAGAGGCAGCAGAGTGAAACAGAAAGCTCAGAGCCTCTGATTTGCCACCTGCCCAGCTATTTGACCTTGACCAGGTGTCTGACGCATTGTGAGCCCTAATTTCCTCACCTTAAAAAAAAAAGTGAGGCTGACCTCAAAGATGCATTTCAGTTTTGACATGAGGCCTCTATGGCTCTCCATGTTTCCCCATAAATCCCGCATAGATCTATCTAACCCACTGTAAGCTTGTCTTGTTCTATAATATGCCAGGCGCACCAATCTACTGCTCTCATTGGCCCTCCTCAGAATGTCGACCAGTCCAACTCTTCCAGAGCTTCTTCGCAAAACAGATGAAGCCTCACAGAGTAGCTAAAGCTTTGAAGAAAAATCAAATGAAACGTAAAAGCCAGTATCTGCCCTTCTGGGTCTGACCAGTGGTACCCTCAGCCCAACTAAATCTGGTTTCATCCCCAGACCTGGATTACAACGAGAGCTTTATAAATAGCAAAGGGCTATCTGTATGTAGGGGAGCTGCTGTTGTAGTTAATAATGATGTTGATGTTACTTCATCTTGCATCCTACAGTCAGCTCCTTCTGGGGCCTTGAGCATTGTGCTGGGACTCAGGCCAGTTTGGCACCCAGCGCCCATCCTGCCTTTACTCAGATGTCAGAGCCACAAGTATAATGAATTTCTCTGAAGCAGATCGTTAGAGGTAATGAAAGGATGGCCTTCGTTTATCGGAGGGACCCACGGCAGCTCTGTCTGCAATGCCTTTCCCATGCGTACCTCGGACTACAATAAATTCCAGAGGAAATAATCACTTGAATTAATTAAAAAGAACATACACTAAAACTAAATTAGAAGAAGGTTTAATAATGGATATATTTATTGCAATAGATTGATATATTTGTTGGAAAGGATCAAATACTGCTATCTTTACTGAAGAGTATCAACAGTCTGATCTATTGATTAAATAAGTTGGAGAAGAAAAGCATGGGAGATAAAATGCATGCCTGACCATGAAAAATAACGACGCATACTCGTACTGTGCTTCAGGGTTTTCTTTAAAACAATCAAATATTATTACCCCTATTTTACAGCTGAGAAAACTGAGGTTCTGAGAGGTAGCACAAAAAGGCAGAACCGCAAGCCAGGTCCCACACCCTCGCTCCTCCTTCACAGAGTCTCCAATGTGTCTCTAGCTATCACCTATTTTTTTTTTTTGCTGTGGACACCAAGTAAGAAAATTCCTTTACTTTGAACTTTGGAGTGGTACATGTTTCACCATGCATCTGTTTATCTAGATACGCAGAGTTTAGAGGATCTAAGATGAAAAGGTTAGACACCAGGAAAACAGCTTTGCAAAGTCCACAAATAATCTGATAAAAAATTGACACGCACAATAACTAAGGAATTGACACGACTTTATAAGATTAAGATCTACTCTTCAATAAACACATGGTGCAAGACTGAATAAGCAGGGCTGGAAGGAAAAAAAGAAACTTAAAAGTAACCACTTGGAAAAACTGTGAACAGTTTGAAAACTCTCCAATGATCAGAGAAAGGTGAACGAAAACCAACTTTACACACAACTGGCAGATGGTTAAAAAAGTTGCACAATTTCCAGGTGGTGGGGCTGGCTGTGGAGAAACAATGCCAAAAACCCATGCCACTGGGGCACTGGGCCAAGGACAGGCACAGGCTTGTCAACATCAGCCACTGGACTTGTTTTAGGGGTGAGGGGGAGAGACCTTCTGCTCCAGCAACTCTGTGTGTGTGTGTGTGTGTGTGTGTGTGTGCGTGTGTGTGTGTGTGTGACACACATACAAACAATATACATGCAATAATTTCTCTTTGAAACTATGAGTACCTAGGCCCTAGTTTAAGCTCCCAAAGTGTGTATGACCCCATCCCTTTCAGATAAGAAATCAAAACATTTTTAAAGCAAAGTTTTCCAATCAAGTTTCTATTTTCAAGAGGAGTGAACAATAATAACGCTATTTTGAAGAACGCTATACATTAACCAAATGCCCTAAACTCAAGCAGGAAAAACTTCTCTTAAATGAGATCCTCAGCATTGGGCTAGGTAAGGAACTATTTAGTTTTCATTCCATGGGTGCCTTTTGTTTTGAGATCCCATTAATTTTTGACTCCAGCCCTCCCCTCTCAAGTGAGCCACCCCTTATAGCAAAGATTGAGAAAAGAAAGTTCAGCAAATCTGCCTTACAAATGAACTGTTTCTAGTAAGACAGGGAATACTGCATGCTCATGGGCCCTGACCACTCCAATAACAGAGGGAGGTTAATCACTTACCTTTAAAAAAGACAGAAATACGGTTCGCACTTTGAATAGACATTTAAACTACTTTTATGACAGACACTCCACAAACTAAATACTGCCTCCCACCTCCTAGTAAGAGGCCATTAAGTAGTAAATCATCCTATCTGTCTACAACATCGCATTCAAAGCCAAGTCCGAGGGCCTACAACATGCATCATCCACAGACTTTCACCGGTCTGCTCCACCACAATACGACCACCAACAGAATGGCCAGGGGTTCATGCTGGCCTCCGTTCATTAGGAGACACAGGCGAGCGCCTTCTCTGCCTCCACAGAGTCAGATCTCCCCCACCACTGCCAACCCCAGGCTGGGCACCCAAAGGAGAGGGCATCACAGGCACGGCAGGCCATCTCTGCCTTCTATGCTTTTACCAGTCCACTGCCCCAACCCTGTAAGATATTAAACAAGTGATCACAGTCAAGTATTTGCGAAGAGTTTTCCAAAGAATCTCACTGAAATCCACTCTGCTCTAGAGATTACCTTAAGTTGGGATGAGCGGAGCCAAAGTTCTCCCCTAAACTAGAGTGGACGGAGAGGAGCCAAGTTCTGGCTCCTCTGACTTAAAAGGAGACTCTTAAAACTCCAGCCACTTGAGAAGATAAAGGTCGCCCAACAGTGATCAAATTAATTTTTGGAGGGATGTGAACTCGTGTTCCCCCTTCACAAAAAGATCCACAAATATTATCATAACCCAGTGACTAAACACCCCCGCAGAACGCAAGAGGCCAAGTACTTCCTATTCTGGGTTCATGGGAATCTCAACAATTACTAATACCTATAATGGGCTTTGTGTAACATGTTCCTTAAAAGCTATTCATTTTATCTTGGTAACCGCACTGGGTCTTAAATGTCCTGGGAGTGCCAGCCATTAAACAAACACTGAAGTGAATACTTCTGTAGTATACTCCTTTCTCCTTCATCACAGTGACCGCGGCACAGGCCCACGCCCGGGCCGCCCTCCTCCCAGCCAATGGCTCGTGCTGCACGCGCAACATCTCCCCTCTCAGCTGCAGTTTGTCAGGAACACACACGACACAGGTTTCCAGGGAAATTAAGTAATAATCACCCTCTCCTTGAAAGGGGTTCTGGATATCACGTGGTATCCAGGTGATGTCATGCTTAACAAACACATCGAGTAAAGCCAAATGTAGGAGCGGATGTAGAAGAAATGATGGCTTTGTGTTTCCTTTCTCCCAGAGCCAGCGTGGCCGCTTCCACTCGTCCTCTGCCCTGCCTGGCTGTTTCTGGACGTGCTTTTTTCTACGGCATCCATCATGCATCTCTGTGCTATTTCCGTGGACCGTTACATAGCCATCAAAAAGCCCATCCAGGCCAGTCAATACAACTCCCCAGCAACAGCCCTTATCAAGATAACAGTAGTCTGGCTCATTTCAATAGGTAGGTGGGAAAGGAAGGAGTCTGGGGATGGGAGGGATCCTTCCAAGAAGGAGCCTGGGAAACATGACATTTATCATCATCATCATCATCATCATCCTCATCACCACCATCATCATCATCCTCATCCTCATCCATACATTTGCATACATGTATGTATACACACATTGCAATCCTTGAACCCTTCGTCACATATGATTCTAGGCTTTCCAGCAAAGATCTACTCCAATACCTCACTGTGGGTTGGAGAAGACCCTGGGTGCTCAAAGACAACAGGGCAAAGGTTCCACTCAGCTCAAAAGGCTTCCAAAATGGTCCTGCAGGGCAGCTAGGTGGCGCAGAGGATAGAGTACTGGCCCTGGATTTAGGACCACCTGAGTTCAAATCCAGCCTCAGACACATAATGCTTACTAGCTGTGTGATCCTGGGCAAGTCACTTAACCCCAATTACCCAAACAAAAAAACAAACAAAATGGTCCTGCGTCTACACATTGCTCACTGACCAGAGGTTCATGACCAGGTTGGCTGGAGGAGTGGGGCTGAAATTTCAGCTACAGAAATTAGTTCTCAAATAGCTTCTCCCGGGCCCTGCATCAGTGGAGGGGAGAGTCCACACTGATGAAAACATAGAGCTCTAATGTGCTGATGTACTGAATTTTCATGATCTTTACTGTGATTCAACATGAGGGCCAAACCAGAAGCACTAGCCTTGTGAAATATAAAAGACTTTGCTCTGAAAACATTCAAATTCTCATTCTAACTCAACAAGACCCTAAGAGTTAATATGCAAAAACTTAAGATTTCTGAAAAATGTCAGATTCTGTTGAAATCAGCTGCATAAGCACCTCTAAGGAGCTAAACAGATAAATGGAGGGAATTGAAAGTATTTTTAAAAACCAACCAACCAAACCTCACTCACCACCCTTGAGCAGAAACTAGGCAAGATTATGAGGCTACCCTGGAAGCCTAGATTCCAGTGCATGGCAGTTAATTCAAGTGTCTACAGCATGTTACCCAAGGTTTCGGCTGCCTAATCATCTTCAGTGCAGGAGCAAGAGTGCAAGAAGGAAATGTTTATAAATGACGGGCAGATCAGAGGGGCAGTAGAAAGCAGCTGCCTTTCTTCTAAACTGTCTGGATGGCCCAATGGCCATCTTTGGGGTTCAAGCAGCTAATGAGCAAAGCCAGGAAAACTTCACACCAGGATATCTTAGAAGAAAGTTCAGTCCTGCCAAAATGGTATCTTGGAAATTGGCAGGTGAGGACCAGACAAAGAAGCCAAGTTGAAGAGGACACTCGTAAGAGGCGAATACAGCCACCACCCACATCCTATGATCATTCATTAGGATTCTAGTGAAAGAAGCACTATTCTATTTGAACAAACTTGCAAATTCAAAGGGAGAAGTATTAGATGAAAGAGAACTGGGATGCTTAGGAAAATAAATGCAAGGAAAAGATGCACCTTCAGATCCAGCTGGAGAGAGAAGAGCCACCAGGGCCTGATCTTTTGGCTCCTGATAAAAGAGCTAAACTTCCTTCTTCTGTTTACCACCAAGCGGTTCTGCAGATGATGGGGTGCTTTGGGGTTCACAGATCATAAAGCTAGAAAGAACCTTTCACATCAAGTCAAAGAAAATCTAGATCAGATTCATTTTTGAACGACAGCTGATTCTAAAGGAAAAAGGGTGGGGACTGGGCACTTTGTTCTGGGTCTCCCCCCCCCCCCCACAACTCCAACAAGCAAGTGTAACCTTCATCAACCCTCTTCAGGTAAAAACCAGCAGCAGGGGAGGGACTCGCCTATCTTCAGGCATAATATCATTACGTTTTCCTTTCTGAGCCGCTCTAAGTCATTAAGGTAAAACCCACAGCTCATTAAAGTTGTAAAATACCCTATCTCAGATCACCACCTCCCTTCTCTTTGCTCAAGCTTTCAAAAGAAAAGTGGACAAACCTCATTTACAAGGGTGAAATGTGAAGCAATCTTGACACATCAGCTAAACCTCAGAAGAGAACGTGGAGCTGGGAGGCTCCCTCGCTACTTTTATGGCACTTGTACCTTTCTGTAGGTCAAAGGCATTATTTCTACAGAATTTCTTCTGTAGGTATAAAGAGGTATAAAACCACTACTATGAGACAGGGGCAATAATTAGGGTCTCTCTCTAACATCTATCATGCTGTGTGGACCTGGAGTCAGGGAGACCAGAGTTCAAATCCTACCTCAGACACTTGCTAGCTACATGACTCTGAGCAAGTTACTTAACCTCTGTCTGCCTCAGTTTCCTCAACTGTAAAATAGGAAGGAGAACAGCACCTCACTTCCAAGGTTGTTGTGAAGATAAAATGAGATAATACTGTAAGGGGTTTTGCAAACCTTAAAGTGGTCTATAAAATTTAGCAATGATGATGATGACGATGATGACAGCTTTAGGGTAATTAAAATGCTAAATCTCAAATCCCTAATGAATCTCTTGTAAACTGCAGACTTGATTACTTCATACGTCCACATCACACCCACCCCGTGGCCTGTGCTCCCACAACCAGCCAGCACTGCCCCAAGTGCTGTCGATGGGAAGGCCGGATGGGAGCACTGCACTCCCCGAAGTAGTTCACACAGACCATGAGACTGAACTCAATTTGTCTGGGGTTTCTTCTTTTCTAGGCATCGCCATCCCGGTCCCAATTAAAGGCATAGAGGCTGGGGTGGGGGACCCCAACAACATCACGTGCGCGCTAACAAAGGAACGCTTCAGTAGCTTCATGCTCTTCGGCTCTCTGGCCTCCTTCTTCACGCCCCTCACTGTCATGGTCGTCACCTACTTTCTCACGATCCAAGCCCTGAGGAAGAAGGCCTATTTGATCAAAAACAAGCCACCACAGCGTTTCACGTGGTCCACTGTGTCCACGGTTTTCCAAAGGGATGAAACACCTTGCTCATCCCCTGAAAAGGTGGCCATGCTGGATTTTTCTCCCAAGAATAAAACGGTGCCTAACGCAAGTGATGAAATGCTTATCCGACGAATGTCCAGCCTTGGAAAGAAGTCTGCTCAAACTATCACCAGTGAACAGAGGGCCTCCAAGGTCCTGGGGATTGTGTTTTTCCTCTTCTTGCTCATGTGGTGTCCTTTCTTTATTACAAACGTAACTCTAGCTTCATGTGATTCCTGTAGCCAAAGCACACTCCAGAAGCTTCTGGAGATATTTGTCTGGATAGGCTATGTTTCTTCAGGGGTGAATCCTCTGGTCTACACACTCTTTAACAAGACCTTTCGGGACGCGTTTGGTCGCTACATCACGTGCAACTGTCAAGGCACCAAGGCAGGGAAGCCCCTTCGGAAATGCTCGAGTAAGATGTCCTTTAGGAACTCCACAGCAGAGGACTCCAAGTTCTTTGTGAGACAAGGGGGGAGAAATGGGATTAACCCTGTCATGTACCAGAACCCAATGAGACTCTGTAGTTCTCCCACACAGTCCCCATCCACCATTCTCCTGGACAAACTACTTCTCACTGAAAATGAAGTGGATAAAACCGACGAGCAAGTCAGCTATGTGTAGCAGAAGTCATGTTACCTTCACCCCAATAATGCAACGAGTGGAACTGAGAGTAAGCACGTGGACTATTCGGGGCCATTACAAAACATTACGGATAAAAAGAACGGCAGAACATATGCTACTTCATCTTCCTAAAGACGAAGACTATCAGTATTGTCTAGTTTTCCTCAATTTGGCCAGACAAGTCCATGAAATGGCTATTTTGCACAGAAATAAAGAACATCTAGCACTACACAGTAATTAAGATGCCAAAAGATTCCAATAAAGTTCAGTCAACTACTTAATCAACGAGTTTGGTCTCGCCTCCTTTTACAAAGCCATTACAGTCGAACCATTTGTTGTGGACCCAAGGGTGCAGAGCTATGCTAGAGAAGTGAGCTGGCATGAGAGACACTCACAGAATTCCACAGGGAGGGCTCTGTCCTCAATTGTAGGTGGTTGACATTTTCATTAGTTACTTGGGTGATACAACATAAATGACCCACTTATCAAACTGGCAGATGACACAACACTAGAAAAGAAAACCACAATGGGGGATCAAAGAATCAGGCCTCCCCCAAGCAATGAGAGGACATTTACATGATGGGGAGCTGGAAGAGCCTTGAGCAAGCACCTGGTTCACCCCCATTTCCTTGACAGATGAGGAACCTGAGGTTCAGCTGGAGAGAGACTTAGTGATTGACGTGGCCAGAGTGCCAAAGGCAGGGTAAAGGGTGGAGCCAACAATCGAGCTCTTGTATGTATGTACAAAGTGTTGTAGGAAAGCCTTTAGCTGACTCCAAGCTCACAGACCCAAGAGTAAGTGGAAGCACCCGAAAAGCTAATGTGGTGGAAAGGTGGATTACTCCAAGCAGAGCCTTCAGGATAAAGGAAGCATCCCCCACTGTACTAGGTTCAGGTTAGACATCTGGAGTAGTGGGTTTGGTTTTATACCTCACATTTCAGGAAGGACACTGAAAACCTTTGAAGTACATTCAGAGCAGAGTAAGCAAGACAGTGAGTGGATTCAAAACCAGGCCACAGTAGCATTCACTGAAGGAGCTAGGGACTTTAAACCAAGAAAAGATTTAGCATCATTAGAGCAGGCTTCAAATTTGCCAAAATCTGTCATGTGGAAAAGGACAGAGGAAGGTATTAGGGACAATGGGTGGGATTTATGGGGAGCCAGTCTTGGACTCAATTCACAGATACATGTTCTGACAACGAAATCTGTCCCAAAATTGAACAAGGTCCCTTGTGAGATAACTGGTCAGTGGTACTGGAGGTGTTCAGGCAAAGGCCTGACCTTCACCTGGACCAGGATCTCACAGGAGACTGTTAAGACCACCACTCAGCAACATTGCCAAGGATGTATGTCTGCAGCTTTTTTGACAGAAAGCAAGAAAACCCAACATTCTCTTTGCCCTTGAGGAACCTGAAGTTTAAAGCCTGTCAACGCTGATAATCCATGCATAGGTGACAAGAATAAATACATAAAACATCGAGATTGTTGTTTCCTGTGTGAAAAGGACAGGATCAGAGAAAGTTACCACTTGAGAAACTCCAGAGCCCTTCTTATCCAATCACCTGCAGCTTTCTTGCACTTCAGCCAGCCAGCCCTCCTCATAGTGCCGCTCCATCCCCAGGACACTGGACTTGGAAATTTCCCTCTTGACCTTACAATGTGAGGGCAGGGGCCATGGCTTATCATCTTGCCAAGCACAGAGCAGTGTAGATACTCAATACTGAAGAAGTCTTTGCTGAATGAATGGGGTACTCTGCTTCCTGTTCACCTCCTTTACTCCTAAACCCCCAATCCTTTTGTAGTCATCCTCTAACCTACCCCAGCTGTTCTGAGTTCTCTTGCCTCTCTAGCAAGCCCCCATAAGCCATTATCAAGTGTCCCTCAGCCTCCCTAGCCTGCTAATCCCCGAAGATAAGCCCCACTACTCAATTTTTCCACTCACATTCCACTCCTGAGCTACCAAACTCTGCTGAACCATGAAACTGGACTGATTTTGTCCACTATAAATTTCTACAGCTTAATGTGGGTTGGGTCCTTACTTCTACTCCACAATCCTTTTCCTCATCTCTTACCAACTCCAAGCTACAATATTTCTTCCAAACCCTTCTCTTCTCCCCTTACAATTAAAAAAGATGACGGCCTACTATGAGATCAAAGCCATCTCACCTGCTCTTCAGTTGTTTTTCAGTCATGTCTGACTCTCCATGGCCCCATTTGGGGTTTTCTTGGCAAAGATACTGGAGTGCTTTGCCATTTCCTTCTCCAGCTCATTTTATAGATGAAGGAACTGGGGCAAACATGACCTGTCCAGGTTCACATGATTAGGAAGTGTCTAAGGCTGGGTTTGACCTCAGGGCAATGAGTCTCCTGACTCTAGGCCCTGCATTCTATCCACCCAACAGCCTCCAAGGTCCTTCAATTCCTCTCCATATCTCAGAACTTCCTTCTAGTCAGTGCTAATCCCTCCATTGGACCCAGCCTATGTCTCATTCCATCCATCACCTCTCCCTTTTGTATCTTCAGCCTCTCCCCACTGTGCCTATAAACAACGCCATTCCTCTCAGAACACTTTCCCTTGACCCTGCTCTCTTCCCCTCATCTTGAGTTCCTCTTCGATCTAGTTTCTAAAAGGAGTCATCTATATTTCCTGCCTTGACTTCCCCACCTGCTCCACTTCCAAAACCCCTTGCAATTGGCCTTCCATAGCCTTCACACCCCCATTATTTTCTGTGTCAGGATCACCAACAACCTCCCAAATGGCTCAAGTCAATGTCCTTTTTCTCTGTCTCCATCTTCCTTGGCCTCTTTATAGCACATGGCAGAGTGGCTAATCCCTTCCTCCCTTGGGATTCTACCTCCTCCTCTTTTGACCTTCCTGTCTCTTTCACTAGATTCTGTTTTCCTCCTCTTATTCTCAACAGTCATTGCCCACAACTTTGTCTTTGGTTGTCTATCTCTATATCTCTATGTATGTGCTCATGATCTCGTACACACACACACACATGCATGCACACACATACCCACCCCTTATACATATATGTCCTCTCCCTTAGTAACCTTATCAGTTTCAACTGCGAAACATACGTAACTACCAAGTCTTTATCTCCAACGCTGACTTCCCTCCTGAGACTCTAGACTTCAATTTTCAATATCTACTGATATCAAGACCTGTTTGTAGACCTAAAACCAAACTGAATCTCTTTTCTGCTTTACTGTGTACAGTGAAATTGGAGATCATTTGAACTGGCATCTAGGGAATGATATCAGTGTATTAAGAAGGTGAGGAAGTAGGGAGATTTCAATAAGAGCTAACATTTACATAGCACCTGCTGGGCACTATACTAGGCACTTTAAAATTATTAGCTCATTTGATCCTCACAAAATCTCGGGAGAGAGTTGCTTTTATTATCTCCATTTTACAGAGGAGGAAACTGAGACAAATGTACAATCTAATAACGGAAGTTGTTGCTGTAGTCCAGCAGTCTTCGTGAGCCCTTTTGGGGTTTTCCGGGAAAAGATACTGGAGTGTTTGCCATTTCCTTCTCAAGTCATTTTACAGGTGAGGAAACTGCTGCAAACAGGGTTAAAGTGACTTGCCCAGGGTCACCCAGCTAGTAAGTTTTGAGGCTGGATTTGGTCTGACTCCAAGCCCAGAGCTCTATCTGCTGCACCACCTAGCTGCCCAACTTTCAAGTCAGTTAAGTCAACTAAAATAATTTCCAGTGAGGAGTTAATTCTTCATGACACAAAAATTGAAAGCAAATTAGGAATGGCCTAGTTCTCCTTTCTCTACACTCCTCTCCTGATATTGTGAAAAGAACCCTTCCCTCAGCCCAGTCTGCCCGGGCCAACGTCCCCAGTGGCTGACCAAATGAGCATGTCAGACAGGGAGCTTCCTGTCTCACTGGCTGGTTCCTTTAGTCTGCCCCGGAGGCCTCCCTCTACTTTGTGGAGCATCATTCTTCTTGAGCTGGAATCCTTCTTCCAAAACAGGAAGTCTCTAAACAAAGGTCCAGGGACAGATGTGGCCTCTGCTGTTCTAGCTAAGTAGAAGTGGCCCCCAGGTGAAAGAAAATCATTCTTCTTGAGCAGATTCACTCTCCTCTTCTAGTCTCTTAAATCGTCCCACTTTCCGGCAGTCTAAGTCATGTTTTGGACCGAGCCCAAGATCTCCTCCTTTACCATGTTTCAAAATGGCAGTCACTTTCTCCCCAGGTTTCCATCACTAGCCCTAATCCAAACACACATCCCAGGCCCTTCCACTTATCATTCACAAGGAGAGCAGGTGTTTCTCTCACCACTTCCTCCTACTTCAGAGAGAAAACTTAAAACAAACCGAAAATGTATCCGATACTGCTTTTAGTGAGATGAGACTTCAAGCAGAAAGGTGGCTCGCTGGAATGTTCCATCACTAAAACCACTCTTTTGTGGGCTATAATTCTATTAGTAAAGTTCCTTCCCCATCCTGTGTCTGTGAGAGGAGTCCCCTGCCCCGCCCCTGGGATCTTCCTTCCAATGAAGTTCTCCTGAAAAAGATAAGTTCTTCCTCCCATCTCTTTGTTCCATGTAACATTACCTTGCAGAGGAGCTGGGTTTACAGCTTTACTGGGGCCTTCCTGTCCTTTCAAAGTCTGGTTTAAAGCCCTATTGTGGAGGTCCATAAAGCTCCTGCCACATCACTGTCTTTCCAACACTTCCCTGGAGCAAGACGTACTTTCCCCAGAATCTTCTTATTCTGGTCCAGAAGACAAATCCTTATTACTCCACACCACCTTATTACCTAGCTACCTCGTTGTACACATTATCTCTTTTTCCAAAATCACGGGCCCTTCACCTGGAAAAAATGAAACCACATATTTACTTCCCCCAAGGCCTTTCAGTTTCCTATGCAGGACTCACGTCACCAGAGATCCATACAATACAGGTTTCTTCCATTTAAGCTGCCTCTATGTGACTTGATTAGCATTCTTCCTACTAAAGGAGCCCAATGAAATTCTATGATTACATTAAAGCAGAAAACCTGTGTACCTGCTAGGATTCTATTCAGAATGAAAGGAAAACACTTCAATAAGCTTGAATTTCTAGATTTTGTCATAGACTCACTAAGAAACAGCCAGAAGACAAGGGCTCAGCTTGGGAGATGAAGTATCTAAGTACTGTTTTTCTACTGCTTCTAAAAGTCACTTCTATTCATGATATGGTAAGTCAAGAGAATTCCAAAGGTTTTCAAAACCATTTGTGTTTGGATCAATGAAAAGAGGGATCATTGTCGCA